GGGACCTGCGGGTGTGGGTGCAGGGGCACCATCCCGAGACCGGGGCGCAGGCGGTGGCTGTGCTGGAGGATCTGGAGAGGGAGCTCGATGAGCCGCCGGAGCCGGTGGCGAGGGAGTGGCCGGCAGAGGTCAGAGCAGCCCAGCAAAGGGCATTGGAAAGAACACCCCGGGTTGTTTGATGTGAGATTCTAGGGAAGAACAGACTTGGGGAGGGCGCAGTAAGAGAGACACCAGACTGAATCTGTGGGTGTGGAAGGCTGAGGTCAGTGAGAAGCTACAGGAAGGCAAGTGCGCATCAGAAGAAAACAATTTTCTAACGTTCGTAGCCACATGTAGGCTTGGCTACCTTGTAATGAAAAAAATACCACTTTTTCATTGGAGTACTCAACTTGGGGTTAGTAGATATCAGGGGCATGACAGAACAGCGTCATCAAACAAATATAATGTGAGCCACATTCAAGCAAAAAGTGAAACTGTGGTATATTTTATTCATCACAGAATATGTAGTCAAGATAATAGTGAACTGTTTTTTGTATTGTGTTCGAAATTTGGTGTTTATTATACACTTTGCAGATTTCAGTTCTTACTAGCCCTGTTTCAAGTGTTCTGTAAACACATTTTGCTCGTGGCTGTGACACCCGACAAGTGATAGGAGAAACACCCCATTGGGTGGGAGTTGGACTCGATGGCTTTTAAGGTGCCTTCCATGTTGCAGGACTGAAAACCCTGGGCTTCAGCAGGTCACTGTGAGAAGGCACACTGACTGTCACTCTGTGTGCAGAACAGTAGAGATTAGCCCAGAGAGTTCCCTTATTTTTTAGTCATTATTCCCACTTGCAGCTTAACAAGAATTTGTCCCTTTTTCTATATCCGTAGTCTTTGGCAGATGCTACTTTTGATCTCTTCTCTGAAGTTCTTTCACAAAATTTACCTTACAAGTTCAGCCATGCTTCATTGTTCCTAGGTCCTGGCCAAGTCAGAAATACAGGAGACACTTCTGGACAAGTTGGCCCCCTTGGGACAGCTACATGAGTCCCTGGCTGTCCAGCTCTCCCTTGAGAAGATCCAGCAGGAGCCCCAAAGGAATGGTAAGGAGCCAGTTTTCTGTGTGAGGGCGGAGGTGCCTCCTTAGTTAGAGGCGCTTTCTCACTGTCACCTCTCCAGCTGTTCCTCCTGTGGGAGATTATATCCACCTTCCCACCCTTGCCCTATCCTGGGAAGAATTATGCTTTATCTTTTCATTAGATTTAAAAGCTGTTATTTGCCCTAACAGATTGAGGATGAGACTTAAATATTCAGCCTAATATCTTATACTTTTATCTGATATCTGATGATTCTAGGTTTAAACTACCTTAAATTTCCATTTTGAGCAGGGGATTTTGTGTGACACCCTGTATTAGTCTGCTAGGGCTCCCAGAATGGAATTCCACAGACTGGGGGCTTAGGCAACGGAAATGTGTTTTCTCACAGTTCTAGAAGCTGGGAGGTCCACGACCAAGGTGCCACCAGAGCTGTTTTGGGGTGAAGCCTCTTAAGTGTCCTCCCTCTGCTGGTGTCCTCCCTCTTCTTAGACCTGTTGGGTCAGGGCCCCTTCCTGATGACCTCATTTATCCTTAATTGCCTGTTTAAAGGCCCTTTTTCTAAATACAGTCCAAGTGGATTGAATTGGGGCATATGAATTGGGTCAGGACAGTTAATCTGTAATGCACCCCCATGCTGGAAGGATGGGGGAGAGAGCAAAAGTCATCACAGCAGGCTTTTTGTTTGTGTCTCTGTAAGTAAGGTTGGCAGGACTGCGGTTGTGGTTTGCTCCCCATCCTGCTGATCATAGCACTAATTAAAAGCAGGTGTGTAGTGTATCCTCAGGTCACACTGGAAAACACACAAGTTTTACCTACTTTCTCCAAACTTTCCTCACTACTTTAAATTTCACCAGTGTGGTTCTCTCATTGTCTAGGGTCCCTGCCAGGTGGTTTGTCAAATCTGAGAAGTTATTTTAAGTAAGATATTTCTGCTTGGTATCTGGAAGACACAAAATTCACCTAAATGTAATTTAAAGGAGTCTGTTGGTGCTTTGAAGTGGAGTGTTGGTTATTGGTGGGCTTTAGAGGTGAGATTGAGACCCCTGTCCTCTTCACTCCTCTGTCATTGAATATTTGTTGAGCATCAGCTCTATGCCAGGTACCATGAGGTAAGGAATAAAAGTTAAGACACTTGAATCCTTCCGGAAGCTCTCTCCATGGCAGGCCTGCGAGGCACCAGTTTGCATGAGCCGAGATGGGGAACATTCTAGGCTGAGAGAGCAGTTGGGGGAAGAAGTATAAGAGCATCACACATGCTAAGAGCAGCTGCTCTGAGTCTGATTGTGACGGAGAATTTTGTGTGAGGAGCATCAAGGCCAGTGTTGAAGATTCCTGAACACTATACTAGGGAACCCGAACTTCATCCCATCAGCTGGGGGGCTCTCATAGAATTGTAAGTAGAGAAGTGGGTGACACAGAAATCACTGTCCATGATTTCATTTTTTAAAAATTACATAGAAAAAGATTGGAAGGATTACGTGTAAATGTAGACAAAGGTTATTTCTAGATAATGAAATCATAGATGACGTATTTTATAAAATCTGTAAGTGAAATAACAGCAATAGCAGAGAGAAACGATGTTTAAATCAGGGGGTTGGGGAGACCACTCTCAATATAGAGGATGGTCAACTAGAGCAGGAATAAGGCTGGAGAGAGGAAAGGAGAAAATCAAGAGATATTGACTTATTGTAGAATTAACAGATCTGATTGGTTGTGGGGATAGGGTATCAGATAATGTTGTCAGTGACAGGAAAATCAGAAGGGGATGTATAGGCAGACCTTGTTTATAGCGCTTAGCTTTATTGCGTTTCACAGATGTGTTTTCCATGAATGGAAGGCACAACCCCCCACCATCCAAAAGGTTACAACTTGCTTTATTGCGATCATGACTTTATGGTGGTAGTATGGAAACTAAACTCAATATCTCTGATGTCTGCCTGTATCTATGTGAAGAGGAGCTGGCGTGAGTTCAGTTTTTATACGTGTGAATTTTCGTTGCTTGTGAAACATCCAAGTGGAGAAAACCCAGCAGGCAGTGCAGTTTAAAATGTTCTGTATCTGGGAGGAAGGTGTGGGAGAAGGTGGAGATGTGGGAGTCATCTTGGGTAGATGACAAGAAGACATGGGTGTAGGCAAGATTGACCAGGAGGAACATATAAAGAGAACCCCATGACCAGCCGGTGTGGCTCAGTGGTTGAGTGTTGACCTAGGAACCAGGAGGTCACAGTTCGATTCCCAGTCAGGGCACATGCCAGGTTATGGGCTTGACCCCCAATGAGGGGTGTGCAAGAAACAGTCGTTCAATTATTCTCTCTCATCTTTGATGTTTCCATCTCTCTCTCTCTCTCTGTCTTCCTCTCTGAAATCAATAAATATTTATCTTTAAGAAACTGTAACATGCACACAAATCCCTGGAGATCTTATTAAAATTTAGATTCTGACGCAGGAGCTCTGAGGTGTG